TCTCTGCCAACCTTTGGACTTTCAATGGACTTGAATTAATGGCCTGCTGTGTGGTTTGGTAATATTGGGACTGTGCCTTTTCACTTGTTGACCTCGGGTTTGTCAGCCTCAGCAGCCAGCAGCTGCCTGAGTGAAGAGACACCTCGAGCTCCAGTGGGCCGGGAGCAGGAGGCAGAGCTGGACCCCAAGGTCGAGGGACTTTCCCCCAGCCCCTAGAGCCTGAAGCCTGGGACTTGGACTTCTAGCCTCCAGAACTGTGAGAATAAACTGCTATTGTGAAAGCCACCCCGTTTGTGGTCTACTCCTGTCAGAGCAGCATGAAGCTACCAAAACATGGGTCATCATGAGCGGGGTCACCCAAGAACAATGACAACTCGTTACTATAATAACATTGACACAGCATGACCACTGTGGCAGGCACTGTCCTTAGCATGGTGGACCATGGGATCACTCTGTCCTCATGGCTACCTCAGCAGACACATCTTGGCTCTCATTTCTGGGACAGGGACCAGAGCCTATGGGAGTATGATGGGAACTTGCCTGCGAGCCCACAGCTGGTGTGTGGAGCTGGGGTTGCACCTGGCCGTCAGCCTCCAGGAAGGCCTTTATTGCTGCCCCATCCCAGTTAGGTGTTGCCCTTATCTCCAGGCAGAAGCCCGATGGGCAGGTGGGTGCACTCCTGAGGAAGCAGCCTCTCAGCAAGGCCCTTCCCAGGGACACAGCCACAGAGCTTCGGGCAAGATTCCCGAAGTCCATCAGGGTGGACAGAAGAGGGAAGTGCTCACCATGTTGAACACAGCCATGGTCAGGATGATGGTTGTGGTGACGACCGTGAGGCACACCCGGGGCCAGGGCCGGGTGGCAATGATGCCCGATGACTTTAGGAGCCACAGGAGGGAGGAGGATGCCTTCTTACTGCATTGCTGGTGGAGAGAGGAAGAAAAGAGATTACTGCTCCTGCTGGTGCTCACACCACTCACAACGGTGCTTAGGTCCCAAAGACCCAGGCAAGACTAACCCTCCCCTGTCGAGTCGATTCTGACTCAGTGTGGCCCAGAGCAGAGGTGCTCCATGGGGACTTCCTGGCTTTCATCTTCACAGGAGCAGGTCACCAGGCCCTTCTTCTGTGGGGCTACTGGAGGGACTTGAACCACCAGTTTCAGATTAGTAATCAAGTGCCAACTGTTTGCATCACCCAGAACCTATACTGCACATTACACCACTGTGAGCCAGGGGTCTTCATGGGCTAATGTTTATCACCAGGCCTTTCTTCCTCGCCTCTCTAAGTTTAGAAGCTCAGCAGAAACCTGTTCAGCATCTAGTGTGAGCACTCTGCTCACACAACACCCTGGTCAAAAAGACCCGTCGGCAGTCACCCAAACTACTCTCCATGTATGGCCCCTGCATGTGTGCAAGAACTCCCAGGAAAAAGCCATGTGCCTCTCCACTCCAGCAAGAATACCTGGAGCTACTCACCGGGATGTGTGGGTTTGGTGCAGGCTGAGTTCAGGACAACAGACTCAGGAAGGAATTGGTCGGTTCCATCTCTTGTAAAGTGGCATGGTCAAGCACCTATCCACTAACTGAAAGGCTGGCGGGTCAAACCCAACAGAGGTGCCATGGAAGACAGGCCTGGCAATCGGCTGCTGAAAGGTCCACAGCCTTGAAAATCCCATGGAGCAGTTCTGCTCTGCACATGTGGGGTCACTACGAGTCAGAAATGACTTGACAGCAACCGACACCACCACCATGCCTCAGGGTACCCCACTGCAGTCATTTCAAACTTACGGTGACAAATTCACACAACACTGTCCTGGAAGGTCAAGGAGATAGGGACATTTACCCCCTCTTCATTACTAAGTAGAGGCAGGAAGCAAAACTATTCTGCGATGGAACATCTGTTGATCTGCTAGTGGTGGGACAGGGAAATAGAGGAAAATCATGGGCAAAGGTGTGTACCTGGAAGCACAATCACACTGAGAAGGGGGAGGAAGATAAAGACACCTGGGGCAAGGTGAGAGACTATTGTGCTTAGGTGCCGTCGAGTCAGCTCCAACTCACAGAACTCACAGTGACCTCGTGGACAACAGAATGAAACCACGCCTGGTCCTGCACCATCCTCACAACCGTTGCCATGCTGGAGCCCATCACTGTAGCCACTGTATCCATCCATCTTGGCGAGTGGTTGCCCCTCTTTTGCTGACCTACTTTATCAAAAATGGTATCCGCCTCCAGGGACTGGTCCCCTCTGACAACATCTAAGCTGTCTAGCCCCTTTAGTGGACCACAAGCACCTCACATTTACATAGCCCCACCAGTCATCTGGTGGCGTAGTGCCTAAGGCATTTGACTGCTAACCAGAAGGCTGGTGGTTCAAACCCACCAGCCACTCCTTGGAAGGAAGGTTGGGCAATCTACTCCCATAGTGATACTGCCTTGGAATCCCAAGGAGCGGTTGCTATGAGTCGAACAGACTCAGTGGCAGTGAGGTTTTTCTTTT